AAGAAACGGCTCAACACTTGTTCCGTGATTGTATGTGGGCCAGCGCGATTTGGGGCGATATTAATCTGCCAACTTTGGGGACTATTCACGGTAATGTACAGGAGTGGTTCTTTGCTCAATTATCTGTTTTAACGGGTCAATTACAATGCAAGTATGTGATGCTGTGTTGGGGGTTATGGGGAAGTAGGAATGATGCTGTGTGGCGTGGGGTCCATTTCAATAAGGAGGTTATTTTGCGCAGGTCATTATCCTACTGGGAAAACTGGAATGCCGCAAGGGAAAATGGGGTGCATGGGCAGGAGCACCAATTGTCCGTGGACACGTGGACAAGGCCGGCGGTGGGTAGATTGAAGTTGAACACTGATGCGGCAATGGATCCGGTCCATAATACCATGGGGTTAGGCTGGGTTTTGCGTGATGATCACGGGTATTTTATGGCTGCTAAGAGTGTACGGGTGCAGGGGCAGTTCACAGTTGCGGAAGCTGAGATTTATTGTATCCGGGAAGCACTGGTTTGGATGCAACACACTGGCATGGGAGAGGTAGATGTTGAGACAGACTCACAGTTATGTTATTATGCTTTGTACTCGGACTCTTTTTATTCTGCTTTTGGTTTTATAGTGGATGATGTAAAACAAGTTGCCTCATTGATTAACGGGGTTAACTTCAGTTGTGTTAGGCGATCTGCGAATCGTGCAGCTCATGCTATAGCACGGGAGGCCGTTTCTGTGTCAGGTCCTGGGGAGTGGTTGGATTTACCACCCCATTATCTTGTTCCTATTCTTGTCAATGATCGAATGAATTAAGTTTTCTATTTCAAAAAATAGTTATTATTTGAATTAGATAAAAAAAATACTTATTATTCATTTATTTAACACTAAATTTTGAACACGAGTAAATTCTAGGCATGTTTATTGGCTATTGATATTTATCAATTGTTATCATTTAACTTTCAATTGGACCATAAATAGTCCATTGACTATTGATTTTTACCAATTTTCATTCTCGACTTTCAATTTGATTATAAATGGTCCCCCGATTATTGATTTTGTTCCAAATTTGATCTTTCAGTTAAATATCCCTTTGGTAAAATTGAATTTATGAATAATAATGTAAAAATTGACTTGTTGTACTGTTTTTTTTTTTTTTTTTTTTTTTTTTTTTTTTTTGGAAAGGCCTTGTTGTACTGTTAAGATGGACAAATAAATGTAGTTCAAATAATAGAAATGTTTATAATTTTCATCTTTAATTTTATTATCTAAATATATAATACAAAACTTTTATGTTTGCATCACATATTTGCACAAGTAATATACTACGCAGTATTAATTATTAATATCATCAAACCCTTTGTCCTTTGTTTGTTCATTAAGGCTGTGTTTGGAAACACGAAAAATGATTTCTGGAAATCATTTTTTCGGGTTTTTGGTATTTGGCTACACTTGAAAAATCCAGTCAACAGAAAGCATTTCCCGTTGACTAGGGAAATATTGCTCAATTTGGCGGAAAATGACTTCTGCCAAAATTTGGCGGAAGTCATTTTCCGCCATTGCTATTTCATTTTTTTTAAAAAGTTTCTGGCGAAACCCAGTTTCGCCGGGAACTAGTTTTTTTTTTTTTTTTTTTTTTTTTTTTTTTTTAACATTTAAAATGTATTTTTTAGAGTTAATTACTAAAATGGTCCCTTAACTATAGCAAAATTACCAATTTGGTCCTTGACTATTTTTTTTAACCAATTAAGTCCCTCAACTTTAAAAATTTTAATCAATTTGGTCCTCCGTTTGTTTGACCGTTAGTCAACCGTTAACTTGGGACCAAATTGGTAATTTCGCTATAGTCAAGGGATCATTTTGGTAATTAACTTTAGGGGTGGGCAATTCGGTTTAGTTTTCTCGAATCGAACCTTACCGAACCAATTGGTTCGGTAATTTACCGAACAACCGAATGGTATTGGATACTTGTATACTGAACGGTTCGATAAAAAACCGATCCGATCCGATCCGAATTGTTCGGTAAAAAATTGAACTGACCGAATACCGTTTGATTTTATTAAAATATAATAATAATAATAATAATAATAATAATAATAATAATAATAATAATAAATAAATAAATAAATAAAAAGTAAATCAAATTCCATCGCTGCTTGCTTTGTCATTCAACTCATATTCTCACGGGTATCTCTCGTAAATGTTTTATCTTATTTCTTTGTGGTTTATTATCAAAAGTTCTCAAGAATCTATTACCGTTCGGTTGTTCGGTATATTACCGAATCTAACTAGTTTGGTACGGTTCGGTTCGAGAAAACTAAATCAAATTGCCCACTCTTAAAGTTATTTACCAAAATGGTCCTTTGACTATAGCGAATTACCAATTTGGTCCCAAGTTAACGGTTGACTAACGGTTAAACAAACGGAGGACCAAATTGGTTAAGATTTTTAAAGTTGAGGGACTTAATTGGTCAAAAAAAAATAGTTAAGGACCAAATTGGTAATTTTCGCTATAGTCAAGGGACCATTTCGGTAATTAACTCTATTTTTTATTCTAAATAAAATAATTAAAATATTTAATTATACCATTCTACTCATTTTCCAGAAAATGAACCAAACACACCAAAACAGTTTTCCAAATGCAACCAAATACTGAAAAAGGGAAATGTTTTCCGAAAAATGACTTACTTTCTAGAAACCATTTTTCAGAAGTCATTTTCCTGCTTTTTAAACGGACCATTGAGTTCCAAATGTTATTGAACTTGGTGGACCTCATTGGATGTCCTGCCACACTTGTGAACAATCTTTCTCACTTGAGTTTAGTGCACGCATGCATGTATGGACATCCATGCTTTTTAATTGCTTGCACTTTGATTGTACTTTATACATATAGAGAGAGTTTGTATGTCTCTATTTATATTTTATACTCACTCCGTCTCATTTTGTGTATCTGGTTCATTTAACAAGACTTGACTGAAGTTATTATTAATTCAGTTTTTCATAATATTAAGTTTAGTTTTAGTATGTAAAATTTATATATTTAGAAATGGTACTAAAAGTACTATTAAACAAAAAAAATATTAATTTTAAACTTATGTAAAAAATACTAAAGAAAATAAACAAAGAAAAAAGAGTTGAGTTGATCGACCAATGAATAGTAAATAGTATTAGGGTCGTTCCATTAAAAATATGGGCGTTGTCTAATAGTTTAATTTGGACCTTCATTGTTTTAGTTCCGAGATACAATCCAAATATAGTAGAGTAAATTGCAAAGACAAAGACAATAATATAGAGAGAGACAAGAACATAGGGAGAGAGATTTTTTTTAATATTAAAATTTTGCTATAATGATAGAGATTTCTATTTATAAAGGTAAGAAACATAATCTCAAAAGACCTTTGAAAGATGAAGATAGAAGTATAGAAAATCTCTATAACTGAGGTAATTAAGTTTAAATTCATTTGAACTTCTACTTATTGTATTCTGTGAAAAAAAATGTAATTACAATTTTTTGTCCAAATATAATTCATAAAAATTTAACAAAGAAAGAATACAATTTAAAAGTTAATTTAAAAGTGTCATTTTTCGTGCATATTTAAATATAAAATTATTCACTAAAATTTCGATGTCAATTCTCTCAAAAATTTTATTTTCAATTACAATTAAGACCCATCTATGAATTAAAAAAAAAAATTATCAAGTATAAAAATAATATATTATATCTAAAATATTTTTTAAAAAAAAAAAAATTGGGGACCTTGTGCGGTCACTGTAACCAGACATAATCAAGATTATCCTGAGTAAGACAGATAAAATGAGACAAAGAAAATACATTGTTTAAAAGCTTATTATAATATTGAAATGTTTTTCAATATTATCTAATTGTACCCATTACTTTTAAAAGCCATTTTAATAATATTTGGTACATATTTTATATATATATATATATATATATATATATATATATATATATATATAATTGTACTAAGTATTATTGAAATAATTTTAAAATATACCAAATATAATTAGATAGTATTAAAAATTATTTTAATATTAAACAAATATTATTGTGTTTTATATCGATACCATTGTCAATCAGCAAGATAAAAATTTTCTATACAAAAGCACGTACACAAGGGCAAGATTATGTGAAATAGAATATAATATAGTGTGAGAAATGAAAATGAATCTTAGCTAACCTGTTGGGTTTGGTTGAATAGAAAGAACTCATCCATCCTTAATTAAAAGTCCAGGTCAGCTGTGCTTACATATTTGACGGTGAAAACCTTGGATTATTCCTAAAAGTTTACGAGAATTATAAACATATTATATTTTACTTTTTTTTTTTTTTAAAAATTTCTAAATGGATAACAAAATTCAAACTACTATTTTAGGGAAAATTGTAAAAAATACTCCTCTATAATATGTCAATTATCAATGTCACCCCTGAATTATGAGTTGTGTAAATGTTGCCCCTCAATTATCAAAACGGTGCACATATAGCCCCTCCCGTAACGGACATGTGGTTCCTCGTTAGTGTACGACACCGTTAAGTCGGAGTAAATATGTAATTTAGTTATTTTTTTCCTCCCTCGATTCGAAGTACCAGCGATGGACAGGAGTGGGGAACCACATGTCTGTTACGGGAGGGGCTATATGTACACCATTTTAATAATTGATGGGCAACATTTACACCACTCATAATTCAGTGGTGACATTGATAATTGGCATATTATAGAGGGACACTTTTTATAATTTTCCCACTATTTTATTTATATAAAAAAAATGTTATTGTTCTTTTTAATTTATAATAGTCGATATTATAATATTGATTGGTATAGAATTTCTCTTTAAAAAAAAAGGATATGTCGTCTTACAAATAGACAAATGAAATAAGGAGTAATAAATTGAAAATAAAAAATCCCTTTTAATTCCCACAATAATTAATTATTTTTACTAACTTCTGTAATACACTGTGTTACAGAGTACTATATATCTATCCCCAATCCAACAACCAATCACAAGTCAGATCCGAAGTCCTTTTAATTTTGTTCCTGGTAGCCAAACCAAACCAAACCGGCTCCGACGATGTTACCCACTTGGCTCAGCCCTGTCTCCTTGTACGGCGGATTCCTCCGGCGATGTCTCTCCGCCGCCGGCCTCACTTCACAGACCCTGGACATCGATGACGAAACTACCCTCCACTTTTGGGGCCCGAGCCCGAACTCATCGTCGCCTGAAAAGCCCGCGCTCGTCCTCATCCACGGCTTCGGGCCTCACGGCGTCTGGCAATGGCGGCCGCAGATCTCCTTCTTCGCCAACGATTACAACGTTTTTGTCCCCAGCCTCGTCTTCTTCGGCCGCTCCCACACCAAATCCTCCGACCGCTCCGAACTTTTTCAGGTATATATGTCGTCTACACTATTTCTCATCATTAACTCACACTTTTCGATTCACTTTAACAAATACAGCTTAGAAATTAATGTATGTAGTTTGATGTTTGAATAAAGTCTATCAAAAAAGTAGAAGCGATGTTCTCTTAGTTGTGTTATCTTTTGGATAGTAGACTTGCACAGTAATATTAGTTGTTTTGTCTTATAGTTTAAAACTTTAGATTATGCATTGATATTATTCTGAGTAGTATGGATATGGTAAATTGTATAATGTATATCCTATATCTCATTAATATATATTTAAGTATGAAGAACTAACAATTTCTAGTTATTTTAAATTTAAATAAACTACTTAATAAGTCTAATCAACTTGTCACGTATGTTATACAAAAATATCTTTTTTCAAAAAATTGTATCTCTAACTCCAAGGATCTCTACACCCGACTAACATTTGAGAGAATGCAAATTGTGACTCAATAACTTAACCGGCAGGACAAAATGCATATTATACAAGAAAATCTAACAAGAAAATTGCAGAATTGTGTTTTTGTTTTTACCAAAAACATGATTATTTTAAGATTATTACTGTATTTTTCCTTTTCGATGTATAGTCACGCGGAAAGCCGTGGCACCCACGGCGGCATTAGTTAATGCTTTTTTAAAAATAAATTTTGCAGGCCAAGTGCGTGGGGAAGTTGCTGGAGAAACTCGGCGTGGAAAAATTCTCGATGGTCGGAACTAGCTACGGCGGCTTCGTGGCGTACCACATGGCGAGGATGTGGCCGGAGAGAGTGGAGAAGGTGGTCATCGCCAGCTCCGCCATTAACCTGAAGAAGCAAGACAACGAGGGGCTAATTAAGAGGGCCAACGCCGGCAGGGTTGAGGATGTGCTGCTGCCGGCGACGGCGGAGCAGTTACGGACGTTAATGTCTCTCTCTTCTTTCCGGCAGCCGCCTGCATTCCTCCCAGATTTCATCTTCAACGATTTCATTAGTGTAAGTCTCTTTCCTTCCTAGCTTGATTGTGAAATGTAACTAATCTTATTGCACTCTCATTTTCTCATTTAATTTTTTTACATTATAGATTAATCACATTTTAGTTTTCAAATTACCAACTACTTCTACACAAAACAATTAAAACATGTGGGATAAACCCAGCCAGAATGGCTAAAGATATAAATTTGTAGCTACAAGGTCATGACTTTGAAGCTCAATTACCTTATACTCATGGGTAGTAGCACGTAATCCATTTCAACAAAAAATATAATACATTATTTTTCTAGAAAAGTGTGTTTCACACAAAATTAAATATACATTATATAGCTTGTAGAGTAATTTTCAAATAATATGGTGTTAGTTTAAGAATTTCATAATTCATTATTTAATATCTTTAAATTATACGGAGTAATATATTTTTAATTTTTCCTAACCAAATTAACTAATCATCAATTCGTTTACATTACATGCTTGGCTGTCCGTTAGGTCGGACAAGCAATAATTGGAAGGTAATCCAGTGGCAGTTGATCTGTCAAAGGAATTTCAAAGCTTCCTTTGTTTCTAGAACAAATTCAATAATAATAATAATAATAATAATAATAATAATAATAATAATAATAATAATAATAATAATAATAATAACCTTATATATATGTTAAAAATTTGCAAATAACTTGTTTAACCTAATGTTTGGTGGTCTAACGTTGACTTGTTTACCCATTGTCTGTAGAATACTAATTAATTAGCTAAATTATTTATGTTAAAAATATGCAAATAACTTGGAGGTTATGGACCAACTAATAAGTAATAAGCATACATTAATGCATCAATAATATAATTAAAGCTATTACTAATAAAAGAAACTTTAAGTCAAGAGTCAATAGTACTCAAAATAATAATAATAATAATAATAATAATAATAATAATAATAATAATAATAATAATAATAATAGTAAAAGAAACTTTGATTCTCTTGCAGAAATTATACCTTCAAAACAGGAAAGAGAAGTTAGAACTACTGCAAGGATTGACTCTCGGAAGAGATAACAATCCCAACATCATCCCACTTCAACAGGTCAAATTATATATTTTTCTTTCATTTTCTTTTTTCAATTCTTATTAACAACCCTAGTCGGGTTCATCGCACATGATTTTACTAGTGTGATTTCCTGGGACAGATTTAGAGGCCGGGGCAATGGGGTAGTTGCCCCCTCCCCAATCCCCACCCCCTTATATATATATATATATATATATATATATATATATATATATATATATATATATATTTGCAGTAATTTATATATAAAAATGAAATGTATATACAAGTTATTAGATGTTTAAGTAGTTTAATTGGTTGTTCTTTAAAATTTATTTTATTATGATTTACAGGAAGTGTTGATAGTATGGGGGGAGTGTGATCAGTTATTTCTATTAGAGAAGGCGACACAACTCAAAGAGTATGTATCCCTTATATGGCATATGCTATACACACATTAGTTAATAACTAACCTAACGGCTTTAAATTACTTTGAAAAGAAATTGCTAAAAATAATAATTCAAAGAGGTTTCTATTGCATGTGGATAAAAAAATTCTTGAAAAAAAAATTATTTTTAGTCCAACGATTATTATGGTGTTATTATATTTAGTTTTAAATTTTAATTTGATCAAATTCACAATTTTGTTGACATTGTCACATTTTATTCTTTGTTTATAATTTTTGTCCAATTGACTTTAATTTTTAAACAATATAGTAATTTCACAATTTTAATATTCTTTTTTTAAACAATATAGTAATTTCACAATTTTTAAAAAAAATTTAATTAAAAATGTTTGTCAAATTATTGTTTATTTTAGTAAATCTTTTTGAACAAAAAGAGGAGTTTAATTTACAATTGTAAAACTGCTTAATTGTTTTAAAAATTAACATAAATTTGATTTATTTATTTTTTAAAAAAAATTGTAATTGGTACCAAATGTGACAGTTAAGTAAAATTATGAGACTAAATGCATCAATGTTATAATAATTATGCGATTAAAAATGAAATTTGTATTTTAATTTTCTATTTTTTTTCAGACTTTTTGGTAAGGGGACTAGATTGGAGATAATTAAGAGCACCTCACATATACCCCATATCGAGCATGCCTCCCGATTCAACAACATTGTTAAGGATTTCCTACGTGGTCCAAATTGATTGGTGGAATGTGTATTTAAAATTACAATTTATATATGTAACTTATTATATTGTGGATTTTCTAAAATTTTAATATCTACTTAATTAATTATTATATAAATCTAACGGTGCGCATATATAGTTTTTATACATTTATTCTACGGACACATGCAGTGCGTATATAGTAGCTAGTGCAATAGGCAAATTACATGGTGCAAAAGGTTGTAAAAACGGTGTTATTTTACTGTAAAAAAAAATCATTTTTGATTGCCGTTAGTTACGTAAACATATGTTGATAATTTTATAATTTCACATTCTGAATGTATAGTTATGAAGTTATGGATGTGTAGTTATGCAATTCTGAATGTATAGTTATGAATTTATGGATGTATAGTTCAAATTATGCATAACATAACGCTGTTAACGGCAATCGAAACTGATTTTTTTAGTCGGACGTCAAAACGACGTCGTTTTTGCAACCGTGTGCACCATGCATGGTGCACACGGTTGCACAACATAACGACTCAGTGCAATATATATAGGCCATGTTTAGTAACATAGTTACCTTATTAGTCCATTTTGACTTGTTTAACCACTATTAGCTATTTGACTTGGTTAAAGAACCAATATAAGTGTTTGATTAATTAGTTTTTTGTAAAAACTTATAAGTGTTTTTCGATTAGTTTTTTGAGAAAGTCATTTTGCATGTAATTAGTTATCAACTAACCTAATTTACCAAACATCTTTCTACAATCAACTAATATTACGTTGTAAATTACTCAAATCCACTAATTCAATCAACTAACAATTATTTACCATACAGGACCATTGTTAAATCACAATCATATCACTGCAAACTATAATCAGATACACCAAATAAAAAAATTAATTTTATGCTATACTAAATTATCCACAATTGCTCTACAAAAAGACCAAATTAAAATTTTATATATAGAATACAACATTATATATATAGAATACAACATTATAAGTAGGTAGTTTGTGTGTTGGAAGTTTAATTAATAATGTTCACCGGCCTCAAACTAACAATAACTACCTTTTTCTTTGGTTTCCTTCCTTCCGTTATCATATGCAATTCCCTAAAAGCTCGATCTCTAATTTTCAGAGGACCAAATAGATTGTAATGCTGCTAATCTGCTATCTCAAAAATAGATTAAAGAAGGCTATTAAATAATATCCCACTACCAGTAATTCCACAGAATCTTTTGTACGTGTTTGCATTGCATTATTATATTTTTGAGTCAATGGGGATTCTCTGCAAAGAAATTGGTGCCTGCAGCTCCATTGTTGTTGTGATTCTCCTAGGTTTTGCGTGTGGTGTTAATGGAGATTTCAATTACCATGAAGCACTTACAAAGTGTTGGGAAATTCGGATAGAATATGAATATGTCGTAGACCTGGGGCTACTGTTTTTTATAGGCTGAGTATGAAAGAATCCTGGAAGAATCGGTGACATGTGCAAGACATAACCTTAAAAGCAAATATTGCCCGGAGACGATTATAGTCTTACCGGTTGCTTTCGACCAGTTAACACCGAAGCTCAGGATTGCAGAAGAGAAGAAGAGGAGAATAAGATGAGTGATTAGAACTGAGGAAGAGCAGGGTATTTATAGTGTTGGAAATACCCGCCCCTCCTCTCTCAGCCATTCACTGTTCCGCAATTTTAGGAAGAGTTGTGGTGAACATGCCCACAAAAATAGGAAGACTTATTACACCACAAATTAATGTGTGGATGGTAGATTTCTACATGAAATCTACCTCTGAAAGGGAAAAAACTCGGAATTAAAATAAAGGCCGAGTAAAAAGCTCACCCCACCCCACCCCGACGCGCGTGCGAACCGTGCCGGGCGGGCGGCGGCGGCGCGCACGTGTGGGGTTCCCTTTCCTTCTCTCTCTACAATAGTTTAAGCCTTCCAAATGGGTTGGTATTAAAAATGTGGGAATTAGTCCCTTATTCTTCCAATGTGGGACAAGAGTGTCTTCCTTCTACACACTTGTTAAAACACCATCTTGAATGCAATCTCCAACAATCCCCCACACATTCAAGGTGGCAAGACGAAGACGGAATTTCTGGCATGAGTGCTGATCTTAATGTCAGTGGTTGTACCTTGAACTGACACGTAGTGACTTGAGTAACTTTCTCCTTTGATAGTGAATTAGATCTTGAACTATCGAAAGAAGAGTTAGTTTTGAACTCAATTCACACACCAGCATTCACCCTGTAAGACAATATATAACTTGGTCTTTCTCGTAAGGTCAACTCTTTGACCTGAGACCTATCTCTGAATAGGTGTGTTTAGCTTCCAGGTTTATGTTATCTCGTGAGCTTGCTCACTGTATCGCTACTAAGCCCATCTCCCTCGATGTTTCGAGGATGGCTCTTTTGTTTAGCCCCTTCGTGAGGGGATCCGTAATATTCTTTTCGGATTTCACATATTCTAGTGAAAGTACGCCACTTAGAATTAGTTGTCTCACAGACTCATGTCTGACTCTTATGCGTCTCCTCTTACCATTATAGGCACTATTTTTTGCTACGCATATCGCAGCTTGCGAGTCACAATGTATGGGCACTGACGGCGTAGAACACCCCCACAATGGCACGTCTGCCAGTAGGTTTCTAAGCCACTCAGCTTCTTGCCCTGCTAGATCAAGAGCTATAAATTCAGCTTCCATCGTTGATCTGGCTATGCACGACTGTTTCGTGGATTTCCACGATATTGCTGCTCCTCCCATGGTAAAAACATACCCGCTGGTGGAGCTCACCTCATCACTGTCATTCACCCAATTCGCATCGCAATACCCCTCTAGGGACGCTGGGAAGCCAGAAAAGTGCAGTCCCCAGTTCATCATTCCCTTTAGATAGCGTAGCACCCTCTTTAGTGCATTCCAATGGGTATCGCTGGGATTATGAGTGTATCGACTTAGTCGATTTACCGCAAGTGCAATATCAGGTCTGGTATAGTTCATTAAGAACATCAGACTCTCGATTATTTTCGCATATTCCTCTTGAGACACACTCGCCTCTGTGTTTTTTGAGAGTTTTGCACTTGGGTCATATGGAGTTTGAGCCGGGTTCACTTCAAAACTGTTAAACTTCTTTAGCAGTTTCTCTGTGTAGTGACCCTGTGATAACTTGTAGCCATCTTTCTCTTTGACGACTTTCACTCCAAGTATCACATCAGCTTCGCCCATATCTTTCATATCAAACTTGTCACACAGAGACCTCTTTGTCTCTTTTATTGCATTTATATTTGAGCTAAAGATTAGCATATCATCTACATAAATGCAAATCAAGACAATGCTAGACTCAATCTCTTTTGAGTACAAACAAGCATCTGATCGGTTTACTGTGTATCCCAGACCTAACAGTGTTTTGTGGAATTTCTCGTACCACTGTTTGGGAGCTTGTTTTAACCCATATAGGGATTTTACTAGCCTACATACCTTCCCTTCTTGCCCGGGGTTGGCGCATCCAGGAGGTTGAGACATGTAAATTTCTTCTTCCAGGTCTACATTTAGGAAAGCTGTTTTTACATCAATTTGATGGACTAGCCACTTGTGAGAAGATGCTAGAGCAAACAATATGCGTATTGTGACTATTTTCGTTACAGGAGAATAGGTGCAGAAGTAGTCTTCACCAAACTTCTGTTTATATCCCTTAGCCACAAGTCTTGCTTTGAACCTTTCAATCGACCCGTCGGGTCTCATCTTCCTTTTGAAGATCCACTTACAGCCAATAGGTTTGGCTCCCTTCGGTAGGTCTACAACCTCCCAAGTGTGATTAGACTTGATTGAGTCTAGCTCACTTTGTATTGCTTCTTTCCAGAAGACCGCATCGACTGAGCGCATAGCTGCCTCAAAGGATTTTGGTTCCTCTTCTAGAATTAACTGACACACGAACTGATCAGAAATTTCATTAATGTCATTTATTTCAGAAATGTACGTAATGAAATCAGGCCCAAAACTTGTCTCGGTCCTTTTTCTCTTACTCCTTCTAGGTTCTTCTGTCTCAAGTTCTGTTTCAGAAGTTGAAGGTAGTGAGGACGAGATTTTTTCATAGGTATTTGATCCACGTTTTAGTGGGAATATTTGTTCGAAGAACTCGGCCTCTCATGCCTCGCACATAGAGTGGCCGTCTAGGTACATAAACCTATATGCAGCGCTATTTTCTACATACCCCACAAATATTGCATCTGAGGTTTTAGGGCCAAGATTAGGTTTCTTGAAGTGAGGAAGACCTACCTTGGGAAGGCACCCCCATACTTTGAAGTATTTTAGATTGGGTGCGTAACATTTCCATAGCTCATATGGAGTTTTTCATAACCTTTGTGAGGTATCCTGTTGAGGATGTGGTTAGCTGTTAAGGCAGCTTCCCCCCACAGAGAGTTTGGAGCGCCTGCGCTTATCAGAAAGGCATTGATCATTTCCTTTAGGGTTCTATTTTTCCTTTCAGCCACACCATGTTGTTGTGGTGTATAGGGTGCTGTCACCTCATGGATGATTCCATGTTTTTCACAAAAGGTTTTGAGGGAGGTAGACTCATACTCTCCACCTCTGTCAGACCTAAGTCTTTTTATCTTTTTCTCTAACTGATTTTCTACTTCAGTTTTAAAGCTTACAAATTTTTGTTCTGCCTCATCTTTAGTTCTAAGCAGATATATCTTTGAAAAATGAGTGAAATCATCTATAAAGGATATATAATATCGCTTTCCCCCTTTTGTCTCAGTACTTTTAAAATCAGCTATGTCTAAGTGTATTAACTCTAGAGCACAAGTTGTATGATGCTTTGCAGTAATGAAAGGTTTTCTAGCTAGTTTAGCTTCAGCACATACTTCACATTGAGAAAGCGAATCATTTTGCACGTTTGAGAGCATATTCATAGTTTTTAATCTACTCATGCATTTGAGACCAACGTGTCCTAATCTAGCATGCCATACATCAAAAGAAACAGCAATATACGCAGAACCGCCATTACGTGTGGCAAGATTATTCATGAAAGTTTCAAAGTTTGCAGAAGTGAATGCAATGAGGGGCAAAACAAACAGCCCCCCACGTAAATAAGTCTTCCCTAGGTACTCCCCTCT